GCTGGGGTGCGCTCTGAGGACCTTCCTGCACCACTCTCCCTCTAAGAGTAGAAAAGGAGCCCGAGTGGTCCAGGTGCCACTGGACACAGCGCCAGCCCTTCACATGAGGACCAAAGGTGGGCAGCCTAAGGGGCCCCCTTACTCTCACTGCAGGGAACGGGCGAAGGGGGCAGTGGGAACGTGGGGGACCCAGAGGAGAGCGGGCCCAGGGAAGGCAGACAGGGTGGGGTGGCTGCACCTCAGAGTCTGTTCTGGAGGCTCACGCTGTCTAACTGCTCTGTGCCCAAGTCTGGACCCTAGAGAGGCCGTGGTGGGGGATGGGCACATCCAGGCATCAGGGCAAACCCCGGGAAAGGGGCATGGTGTGCTTTAAACACTGAGATGGGGCGGGCTCAGCACTCTGGGCGAAAGGGAAGAACCCCAAGAGGACTCAGGGCCCATAGGATGTGACAGGGTGGCAGAAGAGCAGAGAGCATGGGACTCAAGTGAGCGCCAGGTCCCTCCAGGCCTGGGACTTGGGAGGGAGCTTGATACCTTTTCAAAATGCTGGTCGTCAAAGGAGATTTTAGCAGTTCCCGACTGGCGGACACCAGAGCCGTAGTCAGGGGCCTCTTCATCGGCTGCAGGAGGAACGAAGCAAATGGCTGGAACCCAGCTTGTCCCCTAAGGTGGGTGTGGGCAGAGCCAGGCCACGCCACCCCACAGTCAAGGTGAGGGTGCAGGAGCCAGAGCAGGCAGCAGGGTCCTGACCAAAGCTGCTGTGCGGGCCTCAGTGACAACCAGGCATGTCCCTGGACACTGACCACCGGCCTGCCCTGCCCAGGGGCCCCAAAGTGGCCACAGCCTCATCACAGCCCACTTGGACAGGGGTCATGAAGTCTGTATTTTCAAAACCAAACCTTGCCCCATTCCCAGGTGCTCAAGGAGAACCCGAGCAGCCCCTCCCCATCTCGATGTGCAGAGACCACTCTGCCGGCCCTGCGGGTCCCACCTCCAGCATCACCACGTGCTTCTGCCACCACCCGTGCAGGGCGACCACCTGTCACCCACCTCAACATTCGAGGGCCGCCAGCCGCTCCCCAGGCCTGCCCACCGCGTGCACCCACACGCCCCAGCCTTCAAAGTTCCCCGTGGACCCTGCCCGCGGCCTGAAGCCCTGGGCTCTGTCCTGCTGTGGTCTGTGCCAGGCAGCACCTGCTCATGGAGTAGTCCGTGCTGAGGGAACAGCACACTGACCTCGCCCTGGTCACAGGCAGGGCTGGCGAGACTTCTGAGACCACCAACACCAGGGCCAGTGCCTTTGCCAAGCTCCCTTCTCCGCCACCACAGCCGTTAGACAGGGAAACCCATTAGGTGTCACCCAATAGAAAATATTCAGTTGTGGGATGGCCTGCAGGAGGCCGGCAACCCAGCCCAGGAGAGCAGCACTTCCAAGACACCATCCCAGCCTGGCTTCCTGGCACATGACCTGGGGCAGCAGGAGCTGTGGACCCGGGCACACAGACCTGGGCTCAGAGCTGCTGTGCGCCTTCCTAACTGGCGACCATCATCTGGGCAGTGGGGGCATCTCTCAATCCCACAGGGTGCAGGGCAGAGGGAGACCTTTGAATTGAGCTTGAACTCAGGGCCTGGGAAATGGGCAACCTCCCTGTGGACCCCAGAACCCCCTCTGACCAAAGGCAGACCAGGACGGCAGTTGCTCTTACAAGGACGTGAGCCAGCCCTCTGGTGCAGCCCCACTCTCAGGGGGTGGCTGTCAGGGTGGGGGCCCGTGGGAGGAAGTGGTTAGGATGGCTCAGCTCAGCCCTGGAGGACCCTCGGTGGGAGCTGCAGACACAGGCAGGATCAGGAGGACCTGGCAAGGCGGCACCTCCTGGGGTGAAGGGGGAGGTGCTAGGTGTTCCCAGCTTCCCTGATCACTGCAACTCCAGTAATCACCCCACCTTCTGGCCTCAGGGCTGGGGCCCTTCCCTCGTGCCCCCCCTCTCTCCCCAGCCGGACCCCTGACTCTCGGCACTGTGGTATCAGAAACTAGATGACCAGCAATGACATGACTGATGGGAGGTGCTGCAAACAGCATGTAGAAATTATAGGCTAGGCTGGGCACGGCGGCTGGGCACGGCGGCTGGCCAGCTGGGATGGCTCACGCCTGCGATCCCAGTGCTTTGGGAAGCCGAGGTGGGCAGATCACTTGAGGTCAGGAGTTCAAGAGCAGCCTGGCCAACATGGTGAAATCCCATCTCTACTAAAAATACAAAAATTAGCCAGGCATGGTGGCGCACCTGTAGTCCTAGCTACGCTACCTGAGAAGTTGAGGCAGGAGAATTGCTTGAACCTGGGAGGCGGAGGTTGCCCTGAGCCCAGATCATGCCACTGCACTCCAGCCTGGGTGACAGAGCGAGACTTTGTCTCATAAAAGAAATTATGCGCTAAGGAGAATTTAACGATAGAGTCAAATTAATTAATTAGGTGAGATTAAAATTGCCCAAGGCAGCCAGGATGGCAGGGCAGCGTGACCAGGAGCTGTGAGACATCTCAGGGTGGGGAAGATGAGCCACCTCAGAGTCGGGGGACTCGACATCTGGAGAGGGGTAAGGCGCAGCCCCAGCCCAGGAGCCAGGAGCCCTGCAGCCATGGATGCTCGTCCTCTCTGCATTCATCCACTCGTGGCTGTCTGTCTGTCTGTACTACTGTCTTCCCGGGGTGCCCAGGCAGCCAATGCCTTTGAGAGGAGGAAGAGGGGTCCCTGGTGAAAGGAGACCACGGTAGAGGAGCCTGGGGCATGGGAGGGTGCAGAGACGGGAGTGAAGAAGCCCGGAGCAGGACTGGGGGTTCGGGGAAGGAAGTGGGACCCGACCTCACGACACTAGCCACCTGTGGGCCTGCAGCTTAGGCGGCCAAGCTTTTTCACATCTGCGTTCCTGACCACCCTTCAACATTCCTATCAGGTGGGGAGCATTAAAACAGATCCATTTACACCTGAGCAAACCAAGGCTCACAGGCACTCTGGGGCTCGCCTGGTGCCTCCGACCATTGGGATGGGTGTGAGCAGTGCCAGTCTCTACCTCCCACAAGGGAGGGGCTTACAGCTTCAGGCCCAGGGTGGAGGGAGATGGGCCTGTGCCTGAGAACAGGGAGGGCATAGGGAAGCAGGAGCACCCCAGGGAGGGCTGCCCTGGGCAGGGCCGGGGGCCGGGGCTGGGCACTCCAAGGCCTTTTCTGGGGCTGCAGAGACAGCCAGGTGGGTGGGATGGGTTGAGAGAGAGCACCTGCTCTGCAGCAGGCTGGGGAAGGATCCAGGTGGCCTGATGGGAAGGCGGGGACCCCCAACAGAAGGCGCTGGGCTCAGCCTGCATGGCCCCTGAGGCACCCCCAGCTGTCTCCGGGGAGGCCAGAAGGCCAGAGCCAAGAGCTGGGCAGTGGGGGCTTCCACTCCAGGGCCCACTTGGGGCCGGCAGCCCGGGGCACCAGTCCAGGACAAGGTAGGAATACAGCTTCAGGTTGACCCCAGGGAGAGTGGCGGGCCGGGTGAGGCCGGCCCCGCACTGACCGCCACCTGATGCCAGAAGGGCCTCCTCGGGTCCCCACCTCTGCCTGTGCAGGCAAGAGCCAGCCCCCGCGGCCCCACCGCCGCCCACGCCTTCGGCCGGCACGCACCTGAGATGGCTTGGACAGCCACACGGAGGAAGCCCTTCACCTCGCCCTTCTCGCTGACGATCGCCACGCGGTGCACCAGGGGCACGGGGTACAGCAGGTTGCTCAGGTACACGAAGGCCCTGCGGGGAAGCAGAGGCCGCATCACGGGTCACCCTCCAAGAGTGTTCTGAGCGGCAGCGGCGGCAGCATGGCCCGGCTCACGACACAACACGGAGCTGCAAAGCAGAGGGAAGCCAGGACCAGGACAGCGAGAGCGGAGGGCAGGCAGGGTGGGCACCAGAGGAGACAGGAGGTGGGGGACAGAGAGGACGACGAGGAATGAGCTGCGGCGAGCAGAGGCGCAGCCCGGCGGGGCCCGGACCCGGCTGCCTGAGAAGCACGCAGCGGAGGAGGGAGGGTTCAGCCTGCTTCAAGGAGGACGGGGACCAGACCAGGACCCAGACCACGTTGTGCTGCCCCCTTCTCACACTGGCACTGATGGCCAGCATCGCCCTGCCTCCTGCCTACTTCCCAGAGGTCCCTGATGCTCACAGACCCCACAGAGCCCCTTCCCCGAACAGAAACTCAGCAGGTGGGAGCGCTCAGGTGAGTCGGCCAAGACGGGGCACCCTCAGCCCAGGGCCCAGCGAGGCGCTGAATGGAGCCCTGAGGACCCCCCCAGGGCCATGGCGGGGTCCAGAGCACCAAGAGCCCCCCTTTCCCAGGACCAGCCTAAGCAGAGACCACAAGCCCCTACTGTCGACGGGGGGCTGCTGCCTTCCCTGTGCTGACCCATGTGTGGGCTGCTGGGAGGCCGGCGGGGACCCTGTGAAGACGGCACACCCCTCCCCAGCCGTCCAGGAGTGCATGCTGAGATTGGGGCAGTTTCCTTCAGGGGAAGGAAGCCTGGTATGAGAAGGACACCCAGGTAAGTCCTGCTGTGGAAGGGGAGGCCCACAGCTCAGCTCAAACTTCAGACCAGGAAACTGCCTCCATGACCCTCCGGCCCCGTCCAGGCAGTGCAGCCCCCATAAACACGGCACCCACGGACCTGAGCACAGAGGGGGCAGGAGCACAGCCCCTGTGGGGATGGGCAGGACTTGACACAGGAGGGTGGAGGCGTGTGAAGGAGGTGCGGAAGGTGGAAGGTGAGGGGCCTGGAGACAGAATGAGGGGGTGGAGGGTCAATGACAGGGAAGCAGCAGGGTGGCCTGAAGTCTTCGCCAGGGAGTCAGGGCAATGAGAGGATCAGGGAGAGCAGCCATAGGTGGGGGCAGAGGGCGTGGAAGGTGGAGGCCCGCTGGCCAGGTGGGCACTGGCACCAGGGAGGGGCTGTGGGTGGAGGAGTGGGGAGGAGAGGTGGGTCACATGCTCTGCTTGGCTCACCCAGGGCTCTGACTCTACCCAGGCTGGGCCCTTGGTCTTGCCCCAGGGGAGCACCCGGAAAGATGCCCTGCTTCCTGCTCCAGGCATGTGCAGCTCTGAGCACTGTGACCTCAGGCATGGGAAAGGGCTGTGCCTGGGCCTTGATTCCAGAGCAGATACTGACGACGGGTGGAGTGAGACTCAGTGGGTTGTGAACGCCCAGCACCCTCTCAGATGGATTCCTGATCCTGCCCCCTCCAACCCCCATCCCCCCTGACCTCCCTGAAGCAGCAAGTCAGAAGCCAGCACTACTGTGGCCCCTCCTCCTCATCAAATCCATCAGTTCCACCTCAACAGTCTCCAAGAAGCCCCCCAACTGTCCATTACCACCAGCCCTGCCCTGCCTGGTCCCCACGGCGGCCAGAAAGGTCTCAGGGCACCGATCAGACACATCCCCCCATGCCCTTGGTGACACCCAGGCTCCTTACACAGGTGTCCATGCCCCACGTGGCCCTGGGGGTCCAGGTCCTGCCTCCCCCTCACAGTCAAGCTCAGCCTCAACCCAGCCTTGCAGCTCCTGGGTCCGCGGATGCCCCGGGTGTCTCTGCTCCCAAAGCGGAAGCCCTACCCTTGATCTTATCCGCCACCTCAAGTCTCCTCGGAGGCCCAGGCATCCCAGCGACCATCAGGACCTTTCCCTTGGCCACCTCGTTTGTTCTGACTTTACACATCCCCATGAAACCTCCCTTGCTTTCCAAGTGGCCCTGCTGAGCTGAGCCCTCACCATTGCCCTCACTGCAAACCGGCCCAGGCAGGGCTCACAGCAGGAAAAGGGTCTTGCTGCTCTCCAGGGCCTGGAAGTCTCCTTAGGCCTCCCTTCCGGGGTAGAGGAAGCCCCTTGGTGGCTGCTTGGGCCCTCTCCCCAGCACAGCACCCCCTCTAAAGACGCCCCCCGAGAAGCGAGGGCCCCACACCCCAGAGCCAGTCAGGGACCTGTTACCACAGGGCTTCGGGCGGCTCTGCCTGACTTCGGTGTGGGGGCTGGGGCTCCACTGTCTGGGCACCCACCCAGGTTGTGTCCACAGGTGCCATGGATGCTCACCCTGGCCCTCATCCCAAGAGAACACCCAGAAGGGTGGGGCCCCTCCCCACAGTCCTGACGGGTGCCCCTAAGTGGGGCACTCACCAGCATCCCCTTGGGAGGGGGACGGCAATGCCTTCCCTCCCCAGAGCACCCTGGTTCCTGGAAGAGAGTCTCTGCCTGACAGTGGGGGTGCGGCAAGGGGCTGCTACAGAATGAGCAAAGTAAGATGTCTGGGAGCGGGGGTGGGCCAGGACTCAGGCCACCACAGCACAGGCCCTGCCGGGTGGCGGGCGCCCCACGCTGGGGGAGACACAAGGACAGCAGGCAGGACAGCCCACGCTGCCAGCCTCTGCACCGGCCCTGCCTTCCAGCCCCCACCCACCCCGCCCTTTCCCGGGTGCAGTGCCCGCTTCAAACAGCCTGGGGTTGGAGGGCAGAAGGGCACTGAGGATGAAGAGGCTGCCCCACCCTACCCAGTCTGCAGGGATCCCATGGGTGGTGCTCGGAGAGGGGGCGGGACCCCTCTCACTGTGGGCCAGGTGAGGACACTGCCAGGCATGGGGCCTCTGAATCCATCGGCACAGCCTCCCAGGAAGGAGAGGCTGCAGCTGTCCCGGGCCACCCAGCCAGAGCCAGACACTATCTTTCCTACCCCAAAGACCCCTCACCAGGGCAGTTCCGCAGGGGCTGCTGGCAGTCAGCAGAGCCCCAGGCTCTGGGGCCACCCACACGTGCCACTCATGGCACCACAGAGGTGATCCACAGACTTCTGAGCTCCCCAGGACCACACCCCGAGGGGGAGACTCCTGCATCTGAGTGAGGGAAGTGGCCACCTCATAATCGCACTGAGCTCTAGGGGTCTCACACTGACCCCCTCCTGACTCTCCCCCACTGCCCCTGAAAGGCCAGGTCAAGAGGGTCTGAGGCAGCACACAGAGAGGTAAACTGAGGCACAGGTCACATGTGAGGCTGCAGCAGGCAGGCCCCATCCGGGCTCTCTCCACAGGGCCTCTCTGCCGAACAAACGCTGAGTGGAACTGGCTGTGGGCTTCCTGAGGGGACACTTCTGCCAGGCTGCCAACTGTGGGCTCAGGCACCAGTGGCGCAGCACACACTTGAGTGCCCCACAAATTGGATGGGGGCTGGGCTTGAGGAGGAGGCCCAGGCCCCTCGCAGCTCCAGGCTCAGATCACCCCGAGAAGCAACATGGCAGAAATCACGGCAGCCGGCTTCTGTGGCAAGCACACGTGCCTTTTGCTCTCCTAGCTCCTGGGAGGTGGCGCTCCCATCTTGCCAGGGCACATCCCGACTTGACCAGCTGCACCCTTCTTCCTTAGGGTTGCACAAAATCCACCCGGGACCTCGCACGTTAAATGATGAAATGTGACACTTACACCCCATTGCACAGATGAGGACCCTGAGGCACAGAGAGGAAGGAAGTCTCCAGGGCCTGGCAGCGAGGCCTGCGTGGGGCTCCTCTCCAGCTCCGCTGCACGGACACCGAGCTCCACGGCCTGCCTCTGGGCGGAGGCGGGCTTCCACTCTGGGTGGGCTGCTTAGTTATCACAGCTGATTAATTAAGCGGATGAATTGTTTCACGCTTTTTCAGAATGTCCTCAGGCTGGGGACTGGGGGGACCCAGACACTGCAGCATTCACAGACTGCCGCTAAGTGCTCTCTAACGGATGGGCAAGATGCAGCCCAAACTGTGCCCCCAAGGTGGGGACTGCTCGGGTGGGGCCCCAGGGGACATCCAGGCGGAGGCTATACAACGAAAAGGACCCCAGGTCTGGGACCGATGCTGCCCCATCTCACCACGCCCTGTGAGCATCCTCACAGCACTGACCCGGGGCCCCAGGCCACCTGTGGGAGCACGTGGACCCGGCTGGGGCTCCAGTGCTGGGTGGTCTCCTCTCCCCACTGCCAGTCCCAGACTGCCTGGCTTGGGACTGGGGCACAGTCCCAAGACTTGTTCAGCCGGAAGGGACTGCTGGGCCCTGAATCCACTGCCCCAGTGGCAGCAGCAGCCTCAAGAGCGCTGTGAGCTGGGCCTGGAAGACGCGCCCCCACCTGCTGAAGAGCCCACGCCAACCAATGCACCCAGGGCGTCAAGTGACGGGGCAGAGCGCCGGTGCCTGCTGTCCTGGAGCCGGGGGCCTCTGCCCAGTGGGGATACCCTCCAGGGCCGCAGGCCTCACAGGCCAGGGCAGGCCATGACCCTCACCTGCCCTTGAGGTGCCAGAGATAACCTGACCTCAGCTAGGGGCCAGAACTTATCCCAGGCCTGTCCCTACCAGCCACAGACACACCCAACACACAGAGAATGGCTCTCAGGATCTCCGGCCGAGAAACACCACCTGTAGCCATGCTGCAAATACCCAGCCCACCGAGGGCACCACGTGGGACCCAAGGGAGTGGCATGGCCTTGCCAGCCCAGGGGCACAGAGCTGACCCTGAGCAAAGCCCTTGAGCCCGGACACCTACACTCCCTCCCCAGCCCTACTCCCCTCCCAGGGACCCTCATCCCAGGCAGTCAGCCTCTCGCCCTGCTCTCTCTGCAGCTCCTGTGCCTGCCCACCCTGCCCACGTCTCCTGCCCCTCCTATGCCAGGGGAAATCAGAGCCCAGGCCCACTCCCTCAGCCTGGGTAGTGCTCACCCACCCACCCACCTCCCAGGTCACCTGGTGCCCATACTACCAGAGGCGGAGGCCCCTGGGGGCTGACCCTGGCCTTGGAGCCCCTGTGCAGGACACAGGAGGCCAGGGCTGGACGGGCCTTCCGCAGAGGCCAGGGTACCTTGAAGCAGACTGAAACCCAGCCCAAGAGAGAGGCACCAGCAGAGGCAGACAGAGCGAGGGCTGAGTGTGGCGGGAGGGAGGGAGGAGGCAGGCGCTAACCGCGGATTGGTGAGGTGAAAAGACGCATGCTGGGACCCAGGGAAGCCTTTCCAGAGGGGACAAGAGTAGGTGCCCCAATTTCGCTGAAGCTTTGGAGAGAGCCAGCAGCTACCGGAAGGTTAAAGGGAAATCAACCAGGGGCCTCCCCAGGGCCGGCCCTGCATAGCTGCTGCGTGGGAGAAGCCAATTCTTGCCAAACCAAAAAGATCGAGATGATTCCAAATGAAGCTCTTCACAGCCACCCCGAAACACGGGGCCAGGTCTCTCTCTGATGACTTTGGTTTGGTTTGGTAGTTTTGTAAAATCTCAAATCCACAAAAGGGGAAAAAAGTGTTGGAAGGACCCAGCTCTTTCTGGCTGAGACTGCGAGAGCCCCACCCCACCTGTCCTGATGTCCTCGTCCCCCTGCGTGTCCTGATCCCTCACCTACCTGACACCCGAAGCCACTCCTGGGGCCCAGCAGGTGCAGGGGGCCTGGCCCTACAGTTGGGCTTTCTGAGAGAGGCCTGCGTGGAACTGGCCTCGGGGTCCTCCTGGGCCTGGAGAGTGGGAAGTACAGGCCCAGGGCGTCTCGGAGGGACAGGGCCGCAGGTCTGTGTTCTGCGGCACTGTCATGGAAAACCAGTCAGGATAAACCCATGGCACGTGCCCATCAGGACCTGCTGCCAAGAGGGAAAGCGAGGCTTTCCTTCCACCATCTCCACCCAAGGACAGAGGAAAGCCAGTGTCAGCCCTGCGATCTGCAGCCACCCTTAGCCTTCCGCTGTCAGCACTGCTGCTCCAAGCTCAAGACTTCTGGAAACTTCCACTGGCCTAGCCCAGGGAAGCAATCTCAATCTCCAAAAAAAGCTGCTATTAAGAATTATCTCAACATTCCTATGTGTAAAATATGTCAATTCAGCTGTTTCCCGAGCTGACTTTCTGACTCCTACAGCCAGGTTTCTAGATCTTTCCTTCACCTGACTTTCCTTCCACGATAACATGAAAGCAGTTGGATTTGCCAAATCTGCCAGCAGGGCGGGGCCCCTGCTCCCCAGGACTGCGCTTCCCCAGCCTCCATTCCGTCTCCCAACCGGGCCTCTCATCCATTCGGGAAACGTGACAACCAACTTCTCTCTGCAAAGGGCACATTCTGTGAGGGCACTGGGCCACATGCCCCCATCCCTGGCCATGAGGATCTGGGAGGTCAGGAGGGATGGAGCTGTCCTCACCTTTAGACAGGCACGGTCTGCCCAGGCCCCGCCACTTCAGAGGGGGATAGAAGGGTAGGCAGCTGCCTCCACTCCTAAAAGGAAGGCCTTCCCTGGTCTCAGGATGGCTGCCTGTGTTCGGCTCCTTCCCCCACAGAGAGCGTAGGGCAGTGAGAGCCGCTGGGAGCCTCTGCCTCCTCTGGACGACAGCTGAGCTGTGGCAAGGCTGCCTCCACTAGGACAGAGTCGATTCCCAGGGGAATGACAGGACGGGCATCCAGCTTGGGGGCGGCTGGCCCTCACCTATCAAATGTCCCTCGGGCCATGCACTGGGACTCTCAGGGAGGAACTTGGGCATCGGGTGCCTGAGCCACCCAGGGGTTCCTGCAGCCTCTCTGCAGAAATCATCCCGCCTGCCTGGGGCCACAGCTGCCAGCTCCGGGGTACACTGCCTCTTCTGTGCCTGGAACCCGGCCTCTTCCCCACTGGCCCAGAGCCACCGTCTCCAGGATGAGCGAACAGCCCCCCTGTGAGGGGCCTTGGGTGCTCTCCTCAGGAGGCCAGCCCCTCTGCCTGCCTGGCCTGCCTCGCCTGCCCTGGGAGGGCCCGGGCCAGGCCCCGGCGGCCCACCTGTGCCCGCAGCAGTGCTCCTGTGCCAAAGAGCTGGGCCCTCCCCAGCATGCTCTCCTCGACCTCACCAACCTTCCTACTAAACTGAACAGGGGGGGCCGGTCGTAAAACGGGTCCCGGCCGTCGCACAGCGCGTGCTCCGGAAAGACGTCGTCCTCCAGGTCCTCCTCCTCCTCCTCCTCCTCCTCCTCCTCCTCCTCCTCCTCCTCCCCCACGCTCTGCTCCTCGGCAGGCTCGGTGGCGTCGGAGTCGGGGCTCGAGAAGGTGGGGGAGGGGGTGAGAGCAGCCATGCGCTCGCTCATGCATGTGTTGAGAAGAGGGTAGCTGTTGCAGCCAGAGACGGCTGAACTGAGGTTAGTGCGACAAGACAGAGAGAAGTTAACACCAGCGACTCGCAGGGATGAACGGGGGCCGGGGCCGGGGCCGGGGCTGGGGGGACTTCTGTTTAAAACCAAAACCAAACACACAGACCATCGAGAATGCTGCTGCAAAAGAGAGATAACCAAAAATGTGCCCCCAAGCTTGGAAAGAAATCACATGTAGGGCCGGCAGGAAGGTTCCGGAAGGTTCCGGAAGGCACCTGCTGGTGGGACTGAAAACAGGGGTCTTGGCCCGGAGAGGCTGAGGCCACAGAAGGACCTCAAGCATTTGGCCACATTGAGGCCTCTGAATACCACAGTCCCAGGGGGCGCGGGGGGCTGGGCGCAGACCCCAGACTGGGAGCCTGGAGGAGGCAGCCATCTCTGAGGCTCAAGTGACACAACCTGCCTTTACGTTCCCACCCTCAGGCCACAGGGCGACCCGGAAAGCCTCACATATTCACACACATGGACCCGTGGGTCCTGGCGGCCACAGCACTGCAGCAGGTTTGGGTGGCAGTGCCAAGATCCCATCTCACATCCCCTGAAATAACAGGCCCTGTGGTGTGTGGACAGGGATGTCTGAGGAACCTCAGACCGGGGAGGACAGGGCCAGGGTCTGGGATGGAAAAGCACCTGTCGAGGCCTCGCCTGGTAGGGCACGGCCCACTCCTACCCCCACTGCCACCTCTCTCTCTCTCTCTGCCAGGGAACAGAGGAGGCGCCCACCTGCCCACCAGCCGGAACCAGGGGAAGCGGTCGTAGAAGGGGTCTCCGCCGGTCACCACGTTGTCACAGTCCTCAATGACGCTGGAGGGCACCTCAGCAGCACGGTCATACATCTCCCGCATCAGGTCCAGGCGCTGCCTGCAGGGACGCCAGGGGTCAGTGTGCACCCAGGCCCAGCGCCCAGCAGCTGGCACTGCACACCCTTAGCTCCTGGGGACAGTGGGCTCGGCCCTGCGGGGCGTCTATGCTGTGCTTTCCAGGGGCCTGTGAGTGACATCCTCCACTGATGGCGCTGACCTCACATGGTGACTCAGTCACCCCCATAAGTGAAGGCCAGCTGGGCGCAGTGGCTCCCACTATGATGCTAGTACTTTGGGAGGCCAAGGTGGAAGGACTGCTTGAAGCCAGGAGTTAGTCAGCCTGCGCAACAGAGCGAGACCTCGTCTCTATCAAAAATGAGAATTAAAAAATTAGCTGGGTGTGGCGGTGCACTCTGCGCCCGTGGTCCCAGCTACTTGGGAGGCTGAGGTGGGAGGATCAGCTGAGGCCAGGAGTTCAAGCTACAGTGAGCCGTGCTCACACCACTGCACTCCAGACTGAGCAACAAGGCAAGGTCCTGTCTCTTAAAAGAAAAAATTAAAGATCAAGACAAATCAGAGTGAGCGTGTCGGGACAGCAGAGACCGAGCGTTAGGAAGGACACAAGCTCATGCTGGGCATGGAGGGCACGGTGCGGGCTCCTCCTCGCCACACCCACCTCAGCTCCTCCTCCACCTTCCACTGGCTCAGCTGAGGGACCCACCTCCCGGCAGCAGTCCAAGCGAAGGAGCAAGGGGGCATTGCTGCTGTCCCCCAGCACCTCCCCGAGGCCCTCTGGGGAGCCGCCCTTCAGGCCCTGCTGTGCTCACTCCCGGCACTCCGCCAGCCTGTTCTGTTGGCGGCATGGCCTGTCCACCTGCCACAGCACCATCCTGAGCCCTGTGGGCCTGGGGAGCATTCACCTCGTGTCTTTCTCTCCTAAAGAAAACACCCAAATCCATTTCTCTGTACGACCACTGCATTGGCAGAGAGAACGTGAATTCTACAATTCACGTTTGTCTTCTAATTTTAACATAACTGGAACAGGAGGAACAGCAGTGTCTGCAGGTACCCGCCATGAAGCCTGTGCCCACCACCACTCCTGTGGCCTCAGTCCTGCCCAGGAGGACTCACCCACCATCCACCCAGCGGCCCTCCAGCCACACCTGAGCTTCTCCAGCGTCCAGTAGTGAGTGGCCCCGTTCTTCTGGTCCTGGACCTCCACGGCCACAATGGTTCGGGGAAAGGGCCTCGTCTCTCGGTCTTTGGCGGCCTCGGGGGGCAGCAGGTCAGGTGGCAGAGGGGAGTAGAGTGTGTCCGTGAGGAGGACAAACTGAAATTGAACCTGTGATGGGGAAGATGACCACTCGTCAGCCCCTTGGGGGACAGGGCGCCAGGTCCCCAAAAGGGCTTCTTTCCCACCTTCCGGAGATTCCAGCTGCATGTCCCACAGCGGTTCACTAGAACCTTACAGAGAGCCGCTGCAGGGGACCACCTGCTTCCTGCCTGCCCACTCTGCCACTGCCTCCCGTGAGCAGGGAAGGCAAGTCCCACCTGGCCAGTCCTGGGCTCCCTCACCACCCACCCTTCTGGGGGGCCCAGGTCAAGCAGGGTTGCTGTGCCACCCCGGGCTGGCGGAGAGCCAGGCGCTGAGTCCCAAGCAGCTGTCCCCAGCATGAGCAAGCTGATGCCCTCTCTCCAACAGCAGGTGGTACAGCCAGTGGGGCAGCCCACCTTCTTTTTCAGCTCCACACTGATAGCGTTGGCCTCCTTGAGGAAAATGGCATTGCCCCACAGCAGGTCCCGCAGAGACGTGAACTGGTACCACTTCCACTTCCGGAAGGCCCAGAGCGCCAGCTCACACTCCCGCTCCGTCCACTGGACTGTGGAGAGGTCGCGCACGGTCATCGCAGGACGGCCACGACCCTGCCCCCATGCCCCAGCCTCTGGAAGGTCAAGCCAGTCGGCCACTCCACGGGGCTGCCTTGTGACCCCAGGCTCTATGTACACCACGGCCGGGTGATGATCAGGTAAAAAGACTGGAGGCAGGAAGGTCACTCCCGCTGTGCTCACTGGGCCAGAGGTGGACGGGCCCTCTCTCCCCAGGCTTCCCCTGATCCGTGCCTGGGCTGGGAGAGCTGTGTGCTTGCCCCTGGCTTCACACTGACTATTCTGGGTACACGGGAAGAAGAAACCGGCAGAGATCCGTCACAGTGCGCGACATGAAAAGCTATGCATGGCCCAGAAGAGAGGCTGCCAGGAGCAGCCTTGTGAGTCAGGCTGAAGAGCAGAGTGGCTGCAAGAGCAATGCCACCAATGACAGCCACATGCCATCTGGGGCCAGCAGCCGGCAGTGGGACCCACAGGAGAGGACGCAGGAGGGCAGGCCAGGCGCTCCCGGGTGCACTGGCCCGGACACCCTCTCTCCACCCATGGCCTGTCTATTCACTGGGCCCTCAAGAGAAGGACAGCAGGGACACCAGGAGGGGTCTGTGCTTGTGCTGAGGCCCCGTCCATCCTCCCAACACGGCACCCAGAACCTCTGGCTGCCTCAGTCCGGCGCACCTGAGCTTCACAGTGGGAGGAAGTCTCACTGGGTAAACGAGGCCAGACAGGGGAAGAGACCAAGGTCATGCCAGCACAAAGATGCTGACCAGCGGGCCAGGGGCCGAGATGGGCGCAGAGCCCTCTGCACCTGCATATGGGCCACCTCTGCCCCAGCAGCAGGAGGTCAGCCGGGTTGGCCTCCCAGCACATGCTCACGAAGTGAATCCCGAGCTGACGTGCAGAGTGGACTCTTCCTCGGGGGCCCCATGAGCCTCGTGGTCAGCAGGATGGGGCAAGTGGATGCACATGAGCCTGGTGAGCTCCTACCAGTGCCACTCCCCACCCCTGTCATCATCCAGACACTCCTGTCAGGGCCAGCGTGTGTGTCCACGTGTGTCTACCTGTGTGTGCGTGAATGTGGGCATGTGTGTACACATGCAAGTGGGTGTGCAGAGGTGCTTGCCAGCCGTGGCACCGCCTGCCCCCTCCCACAATCCTGCTTCCACAGTGCTTCCCAGGACAAGGAGGTATCTCCCTGAAGAGGTCCAGACCTCAAGGCACAAGGGCTGACCACTGACCTCCAGGGAGGGGCCCAGGGCTGCGCACCTCCATGCTGAGACCCTCCTGACGCAGCAGGTGCTGCCGGCGCCCCCTCACCTTCATCCTCAGGCTCCTCCTCCTCCTCATTCACCTCCGGGTAGTACCTGGAGTCCATCTGCTTCTGCAGGGCCTCCAGTTTGCTCTCATAGTCCTGCAGAAGCAAGGCTGCGGCTCCACCACGGCCCTCCCTGCCTGGGCCTCCCACGTTGCGCCTAGACACGGCCTCACCGCATCCCACCACTTGGATGCAAGAGATGGGGCTGGGCAAGCCGGCAGTGGGGGTGTGGGAGGGAGGACAAGGGTCCCCGGTGTGGGCGGGGGCCGGGCGGGGAGGGCAGGGCAGGGCCGTGTCGCTCACCAGCCGCTGCTGCTCCAGCAGGTAGGTGGCCTCCTCCCGCTCACGGCGGTACTGGTCCTCCAGTTCCTGGAGCCTGCAAGGGAGCAGTGGGGTGAGCACGGGAGGGGGGCGGCGCAGCGGGCCGACGGGGGTGGCCTCCGCCTCACCTCTGCTCCATCTCCTGCTTCATGTCGATGCCCTGCTTCTCCAGCAGCTCACGCTGGGCAAAGGCCCAGTCCACGGGCTCGGCAGGCGTCTCCGCGCAGGGCGTGCGCTCTCGCTCCTGCCGGGCCTGCTCGGGGTGGTTGAACCGGAACACGTGGCTCTTGCCCATGATGATGCGGTTCCCTGGGGGACAGAGGCACAGGTGGTCTTAGGGGATCTTCAGGTCCCCGAAGGTCTCAAGGGGGAGGTGTGAGGAGAAAGGGGCACGGGTGCAGGCACCCCACCGACCCCAGCTCCAAGCCACTCCTTCCTGAGCCCTCACTGGGACCTGAAAGTGCCTCCTCATTCTCCCCCCAAATCCACCCCTTGGCCGCTCCCCACTCGGCAGCCAGTGACATTGGTGAACCACAGAACTGGGGCCTCTGCTGTGCCCTAGTGTCCCCGCCCCTCCCCAAGCCAGCCTTGCACCTGCCTCCTACCCCTAAGCCCCTGGGACCCTGCCCCAGCTGAGACATCCCCCCAACCACCCCACGCACACAGCCAGGACCCTCCCGTGACAGCCACTGGACCCCTCTCAGGGCTGCCCCCCTGCAGGGCCCTCTGGGGCAGCACTCACTGTCTTGGGTCAGTCCTGCCTGCAGGGCTCTCTTTGGATGATCTAGTTTCCCCCTAACTTTCTGGGAGTCCCACCTCTGTCTTGGGGCCCCACCTCCCGCCCAGGTGGCCCGTGCCTGCAGGTCTGCCCTCCCTGGCCACTGTCAGCTGGCCACGTCCTGTCCTCCCCGTCCACAGGCCCATGTGAAGCCCACTTTGGACACAGGGAGGGAAGCCCCAAGCTAAGGCCTCTCTCAGCCTAAGCCTCGCCCTGAGCCCCACAGGCACCAGGGCCAACCCCAAAACAAGCAGGGAGAATGGGCACAGCTGTCTGTCTGTCCGTCTGACCTGCTGTCACCCAGGCTCAGCCACACCGACTCCCCATGACAAGCCCACCCCACGAATTCAGGACCTTCACTGTGTCCTGCCCCAAAGGCAGGACTCCTGAGTCCCAGGGCCTCCTCCAGAAGCCTTCCGGGGGCAGATGGGCTAGAAGTGACAATGCTGGGTGTCACCTCCCCCTCCTCACCCCCTCCGCTTTCTCCCAAGACAGTTGGGGAAAGGTCTCCCCCATTCCAAGCCAATGGTCATTTTTATGTCAGCCTGGCCAGGCCACAGCACCCAGCGATTTAGTCACATCCCCCCTGGGTGTGGCATGGAGGTTTCTGCACATGTGCTCAGCACCTGCAATCAATGGGCTGACGGACATCAAGGATGCCCCCAGCAGCAGGGTGGGCCTCATCCAAGCAGGTGAAGACCTGAGAACAAACTGGGGCTTCCTCTGAGGAAGAAGAAACCCCGTGGATAGAGTCCACTGCCACCGAGTTCCCATTCCTTGAAATAAGTCTCTTTACACTTAGACACGGATGTACGTATCTCACGCCGCGTCAGTCCATCCGTGCGTCAGGCTGCTGCTGCTTCTCTGGTGAAACCCAAACTATTCGGGCAATAGTCACAGGCCACACAGGAGGGCCCTCTGTCTGACTGCCCTAAAGAAGGGCCTTTACACCACATGGGCCTGCGCGTGTTTGAACATGAGAGGCTGCAGTGTCTGGGAACAGAGCCCAGGCCCGCCCGGGGAGCTGCTTTCAGAGGCTGCGGCAGCCCCCACCCTGCTGACGCTCCCCAACACCGCAGCTCTGGGAAGCCTCTGACCACAGCTCTGTCTCCCCCAGACCCGCCCCATGGGGCAGAGTCCTGGGCCGGGAAGCAGGAGCCTCCTCCCAGGCAGGCACGCCCTGGCTCCTCACTCAGCCCACAGCATGGACGCAATGTCCTGGGGTCCCTGTGTTGTGTGAATGGGCTGAGGTGCAGGCCCCAGGATCCTGATGCTGTGGACCTGGAGTTGGGGGCGTGGGGAGCCACATGACCTGGTCAGGTGCCCGCAGCCCCTCCCTGACATGCCCCGCAGCCGTTCGGAGCTGCCATCCCGCTGGGAGCAGGTGGTGCACAGGAGGTGATGGCTTGAATGTGGGAACAGAGGCCTCGCCCCTCCCGCCCACCTGACTGCACCCTGGGGCCTCCAGACGTACCTGATCGCAGGATGCTGGGCTCTGTGACTTTCTTGCCGTTGACGTAGGTGTCTGCCCCCTCACAGGGCTCCAAGGTCACCACAGCTACAGGAAAGGCAAGAGGACAGAAAGGAGGGCTGTAAGGGACTATGACCTACAGCAACTCAGCTTGCCTGACCCCCAGGCGTGGCCCCTTCCAGGCCCCTCTTCTCCCTGCTACACAGACCCTGACCATTGGTGATGCTCATTTGGGCCTCAGAGGAGTCTAGGGTTCTCAGCCCACTTAACAGAGGAAGAAAGTGACCCCCAGGAGGGACATGCATGTGCCCATGTTGAAGCCGAGAGGCTGTGCTGGACCTGATCGCCCAAGGCCCTGCCCAGCTCTCCAGGTGGACAAGGATAAGAAACCAGCTAACGGGTCCTGGGCTGCCCGCAGGAGACAGCAGGGCTTCGCAGCCAGAGAACTCCAGGACAGCCACCCGCTCCAACACCACTTAAGACCATCATCCCGAGATGGCCAAGTTGGACAGGTCTGCAGACCAGAGGCTCCCAGATGCTGCTGGGAGATGCCCTGAGCCTGGGCCGAGAGCCACATGACAGCACCCTGACACCGCAGGCCCACTCCGAGTGGGGCAGCACCAGGCAATGCAGACAGCCCCACGTCACCTCCAAGAGGGAGGCCGCTGGGCAGGCAGGGGAAACAGACAGATGGCCGCCCACAGCTAACAGGAAACCGAGGTCTGGAAATAGTTTTCCACCCTAGATCTGGACTCACTCCTCATGGCGCACTGTCCTCCCGCCATGAACATCCTCCACCCTGGCCCCCAACACGCTTCGCGGCCAGCAGCCCACCTGCACCCCACCCCCCCTTTCACGGAGGCTCAGCTCCTTAAGGCAGCAGCCACCCCTGGCCACAGGAGGCACCAGGCCTTTTCCCAAGCACCATCCCAGTGGAAGTTGTCTTCAAGGCTGGCCCCAAGTGTCTCTCTCTCTCCAAAGGTGCCTCTCTCTCTCTCTGTCTCTCTGTCGCTGTCTCTCTCTCTCTGTCTCTGTCTCTCTCTCTCTGTCTCTCTGTCTCTGTCTCTCTCTGTCTCTCTGTCTCTCTGTCTCTGTCTCTCTCTCTCTCTGTCTCTCTGTCTCTGTCTCTCTCTCTCTCTCTCTCACACACACACACACACACACACACACACACACACACACACACACGTCCTGCCTAGAAGTATGACTCAGGTCCCACTGAGAGCTGGGGAAGCTGGAAGAGGGTGACCTGGTTCAGGCCTGATCATCACGGCACAGGGGCAAGGGCGCGGGTGGGGAGGGGAGGGTGGCGATACCTTCACTGCCCCCCCTGGAGTCGCTCCGGAATACGCAGTGCTCCTCCTTGATGAAGTGACCACTCAGAACGATGTCCTGCCGCCTCTCGCCATCCTCCCTGCCCACCCTGCGGGGTGGGGGCACCATCAGCACTGCAGCAGGGGCCCAGTACACCCAGGATGCTGCCCGCTGGCCTCCAGGGACTACCCACCAGGATTATTTGGGGAACACCAGGGCGGACATCAGCAGAGCTGCTGAAGAAGTGACAGTGGGGGAGAGTCCAGCCCAGCAGATGCCCCTCTGCAGCAGCAGGAATGGGGAGCCCACCCTTCCCCTGCTAGACCCCAGGCTGGCCAGGCAGCTGCCAGGCCCCCCACCTGGTGATCCCATCCTTGATGTAGTAGAGGAGGCACTCGGACATCAGCGGGTCCTCGTTCAGGTTGACGAGGTGCGGGGTCTGCGGGGAGACAGAGGAGGATCGTCTCTGCTGCAGGGGCAGGAGCCTGATGCCAGTTGCCCCCCGACCTCTCCCCAGGCACTGGACCACCCATAAGGGTCCCTGCCCCCACCCTCAGCTGGTCCCACCAGGCTGGTCACACCAAGCCAGGAAAAAGAAACAGGAACACAGAAAGCTCAAGCAGAAGGCAGCCCGCCAACAGCAGCAGGCTGGTGGGGCCCAACCTCCCGCACACACCCGGGCCTGGCCCAGCAGCCCCAGCCCTGCAGCGGAAGTTTCCAGAAAGGCAGAGAGCCCAGCTCTCAGCATGTGGAGGCCCTGGGGTACTCTGAGGCTAGGGTGGACCCCCAGATGTGCAGGGCAGAGGCTGGGCCCCATCGGATCCTGGGTTCCCAGCTTTGGACTACAAAATGCAGCTCTAGGACCCTATTCCAGCTCAGACAGCCCGGAAACTGTGGGCTCACCAGTGGGAGCCAAGAGCCAAGAAGAATCAGGGCCCTGACCATGGAGGGCTCAGCCCTGCGGCCTGGGAAGTGAAGCGGTTGTGAAAGCAGTCCTTGATCAGCCACCTGGGGCTCCCCTGTGCAGAAGGCGGAGACCTGGTCATCTGACAAAAGGGACAGACCATCCTCAGCTGTCCCACCCCCGAGTGGGAAAGATGTCTGGCCAGGAGGGGCTGTGCCCACAGCTTGGGGCCAGGTAGGAGCTGCAGCCTTGGGACCCAATTGGCCTGCGTGCTGCTTGTGAATCCCAAGAACACTGAACTTCTCAGGAAGGGGGTCCCCAGTGGTCCCACTTCTGGGCAGTTCCCAGACCCGGGGCCAACAATCAAGCCACACCCCTGGAGTTCCGCCCTACCCCTCCAGGAAGGGGATAAGGTCTGAAACAGTGCGGGGGACAATCCATCACAGACCAAACCAAAGGCCCGTCTAGACGACATGTGTAGTGAAGCCCCATTAGGGCACGGCCTGTTCCCGCCCTGCCCAGGACTGGAATCTGCCTACAGCTCCTCTCAGGCCCCTC